ATGGAGGGAGATGGGGGGGGGGTGGTGGTGCTGGACGATGAAAGCCACGATAGAAATCATGGTGTTGAGTTTTCAATCGCCGGAGGTGTAGCGGAGACGGAGGATGGTCTGAAAGCTAAGGAGGCACCTCGATATTTATATTCTGTCTCTGGGTGGTCACAGGCTACATCTATCTATTACCCAACAATGTACTTTCTCTATTTTCTACCCCTTAGTATTATAACAGGAATCTGTTTTACTCTGACTAACTTTGTATCTTGCTCAGACTATGGTCTCCGTATATTATCATGTCCCCACAAGGGCATTTAAAACCTCTCTGACGAAAACGCATGATTCCTTTGTCTCAGAGGTTCAGGTATGAGTGAGTAGTCTCACTTTGAGCCAATTCACCATTCTCCTTACTCTGACTAGAATGATCAGCTCTGAGTCTGTCAAGAGACTTATCAATGTGTCATTAGCTGCATCAACTTTGAGGACTTTTTATCATGATCGAACTAGTCAACAATGTGGAAAAGTCCCTCACCTACAGATAGGCCTCTGGTTGGCTCTATACCATGTGAGCACTAGAGTGGGCCCCATGCCTCATCCATACAGGCACGTCCTGATAACTCATTAAACTATTGGTAATTCTGTCCTAACACTTTCTGTGTATGTTCAAGATAGTCAATCTCATTTAGCTCATAGCTCTATAGTTACCTGTCCGATTGACTCCGTTCTACTTTTCAGACATGGCCTAAGGTCCCCCCTTATATATCCTATAAACAGCCTTCGGTCAGATCGATGGTGACAACATATACAGTCTTATGAAGCATGCTTCATTTCAACCAGTTTATACTATCAGGACACTAAATTCCAGCTATACTATTACTGTGTGCAGGCCTAACGGTGGGGCCGGAGGGGGGTGTTGGCTATGGAATCTTTGCAGTTTTCAAAGGTCTGTGTGCAGGTGTAGTCTGTACGTTCATATGTGTAACAGACTCATAGGACTCCACTAAAGGATTTTATATGACTTATAGTTGTAAGTCATAGGTCTCATGTAATGTAAGGCATAAGTTATGCTTGATAAAGTGCAACTATATAAGAGAGTCAATAGGACTAAGGGGGACAAGTTCTTCATATATTCTTGTAAGTTATTTCCTACACTTATATTTATAATAAAATACCTTTATACTCTTTACTCCACTATCAGATCCAAAACCTGTCTCTTCTCCCAGGAGGAGTTATTTAGCAATACAACTATTAGATAGTCTCATAGGAGACTGCAAATGAGCATGGATATATAGATATGATCAGAGAGTAGTACAAGACTTGACTATCAACCCCACGTAGGCAAAGGCCTAAGAACTATCATACTCTATCAAAGAGGAATGTAATGGCCTGTTGCACTCCCTTTCAGGTAGTATTCTTAACACAGTTGTCAATTTACCAGGTTTTCCTTTATATTAATATCTGTATTTAATAAGTTATATGTTTTTAAAGCATAAAAGAATGCAGGTCTTACTATTATATTCATAAAAGTTTTACTCTAGCCTAAAATAATAGTATGCTTGGCAAAAATAGTATGGCTGTATGTACACCTTTTTCTGTACTCATATCAAAATTACTCAATTTCAAATAATTATAGAGAAATATGAGAATCAAAAAAAGAATATACTGTTCTCCTTGATATTCTTTATAACTTTATAATGTAGTTGTTTTTTTCATGGCAATATAGGCTGTTGGTGGTTCTCCATAATGGATTAAAAATAACTTAAAGTCTTGTGCGCGTTTTGGCGTGCTTGCCCTCTACTCGCCAAAATCAAAAGTCTGTGCCCTGCCTTTACCCAGGCGCAAACGACCGGACCACACCCTACTTTTTTACTTGAGGCTTACCTCTCATAACCTCTCAACATCACCAGCGACCCTAGTTTCTAGGGATATTTGATTTCTGGTTAATATCTATCAACACAGTTCTCCTTGTCGTCGGGGCTGTTAGAGAGGAGCAATTGCTGTGTTGCCACCGGCGGCTATACCCCGAGGACAGATTTTTGATTTTGGCGAGTAGTGCAATCCCAAACACCGCTTTCACTGCACAACCATGAGTTTTCGAAGGGTCAAACCACTTGTTGACGACGATGACAATGACGGCCGTAATCAGGGGGATGTAACGAGTGACCCTGCCGGGTCTCAGGGGGGGAGTGAGGCAGAAATTTCCGGCAGCGACAATGACGACCCGGCCGGAAGTGGCAATGAACCAGAAGATGGCGATAATGATACGGATATGGAGGGGAAGGAGACTGATGAAGAGGAGCGGGTACATTTCTTGCATTCCAGATTCCAGTTTTCGGAGCACGTCCGCTAATTCGTTCAGTCCAATCCACAAGATGCTATATCCCATATTTCGTTTGGCACGTTAGCAAAAGCCCAAAAATCCATCGGAAGAGAGCGGCAAAAGTCGCAACTATTCTCAAAAGAAGATCGGGTCACCGCTGCAAAAGCTCAATTAGCTGCACTTGAAGAATCTCAAGGAATAACGCCCCAAAAGCCTAGAAAGACACGGGAAGAGTTAAAACGTTCCTCCAAGCACGCGCCCCAAGAGATTTCCTCCAAATGGGCTGTTACTCGCCGACGAGAAGCGATTGCTCCGATAATCCCCGCAGCGCAAGCTGCCAGGGACCCTAGATTTGACACCGCAGTTAAGGGATTTTACGACGAAAAGATTTTCAAGAAAAATTATTCCTTTCTCAATGATTATAAGGAGGATGAGATAAGGGCCTTAAAACAAGAGATTTCCAAGTCCAAGGATGAACAGAAGAGAGAACAGCTAAAGAAAGAACTTCTCTCAATGGTATCAGCACAGCTACCGAAATCATTTGGCATGTCTGAAGAAAGTGGCTAATATGGAAACTGCAGGAGTCAAAACGCAAGGCCGAAAAAGACAAGGAGCAAGGCGAAAAGGTTGCCAGGGAGCACAGGGAAAGGGAACGGGGATTAATAAAGCAGGGAAAGAAGCCATTTTACCTGAAGAAAGGTATTTGTTCATCCTAGGTTTGGGGAGCGCAAGTATCCGAAAATTGACACCTCTTCCAGCTGAGCAAAAGAAACTAGTCCTGATGGAAAAATATTCTAAGCTCAACGAGAAGCAACTGGAAAAAGTTATGGAGAAGAAGCGAAAACGCAAGTCCCAAAAAGAGCGGAAAAGCATGCCCTTCGAGCGCCGTGCTAGGTAGTACGAGCACTTTATCATCGTTTTTCATTCCTTATTGTCTACTTCAGCATTTTCTGCGTGCATACGACATTGGTCTGTGTTTCGCACAATTAGTAATCCGCCATAAATTCAATTCCCCGCGCTTGAGCATGGGCACGGTATCTGCTTGTAACTGTGTACCGGTATTGTGGGGCTGATCACATACCCAAAAAGTTCATGAATGCTGAGCTGTACCGTGCTCTAGCAACATAAAGCGCAATCTAAAGCGGCCGCCAGACATTCTTTGTATGTGATCTTTTGACCCCCCCCCCCTCCGCACCCAAGATTAGTTTCCGTAAATTTACAGCTCCGCAAACTCTACCCTGGAGTAGTATCCAACCCTCCGCTCGCACCAGCCTGCTATATCAAATTTTTTATCATACCGTGCTTCCGATATTCTAGGTGTCTCGGCCTCGAGGGCGTAGGGGAGGCTCCGCAATGCCTAATTATGACATGCTTTGTGAAGGCTTGATACCACAATACGAGATCTTGAAGTATCATAGTTCAGGAGCCTTGTTCAAAGGTTGAGACAAGAGCGGTGGATGTATGATTCCTACTATGTCGCATCATAAGCCTATCACTCGATACCCCTCCGAGCCGACTTTAGGGGATCAAGCCTTCTTTCGGGTCAGACCTACCCTCCGCCAAGAGGGCCGCAACAATCCAGATACAGATATGTCATATCGGTCTCCCAACGAGGCTCGAGATGCCATCAAAAGGGAATGAACGAAGAGGAGATTTAGGCTAAGGAACCTGTCAACCAACCCAGTGGTATATTGACCATGGCCTCATCGCCGGTAGCTTGCCAACAGGTGTCAATGAACTCGAGAAGAGGGCCCCCAAGCTACGGCAGGGCAAAATCCAGTAGGATTTAGAGATTACCTCACTCCAGGACTGTGTGCCCATTCTGATCTCGCACAGGGCCTTGGGAAACGCTCTATCAGCGCACTCAAAAGGGATGCACCAGGGATCGCATTCATCGCAGCCCAGAGTATCCCCAGAGAACCCTAAAGACAGGATATGGTGATGCTATGTCTCTGAAGTCACCTGAAGAACAAAATACGGGCGATTGCCGCTGAGGTGAGGACAAAGCTGAATTACCACAGCAAATACTCTCCTTCCCACCCTAGCATATAGGTGGATACTACTATCCGTTCCCGTGATCATTGACACGCGACCAAAACCGCACAGCGATACAATCCTATCCGCGGAACGCTATATTTTGGAGTACCACACCACTCCATAAGAGTGCTTACCCAGATCGCCGTTATTGTAGGTGGCACGCGTATATAACATACTACCCCAGTCTAACGAGGAGAGGGGGGGGGGGTCTGTAAATTTACTACGATAAAAGCGCCCAAACTAGCGAAGTCTGGGTGGCCGATAGTCAAGCTTCTAGACGTCCGTGTTGGCAATCGGGTAGACTGCAACGAGTAAGGGCACCCTGGAGGTAGGCATGTTGTCCGAAATGACTTCGGAAAGGATCCACTGGCATAAAGCGTGGGATCCTGCCCATTTCACACGCATTTCCCAGTAACCCTGCACCAAGAAAATCACTACCCGATAGTGTTCCTTAAGAGCCGAGTCGAGCTCTTCTAAACTTTACCTCGAGCTTTTCCAAACAAACTTTATTCTTCTTTCCAAATTGGTAAGGAAAGACGGGAAGTGACCCGCATCCCTAAGATTACCCCGTTAAGTCAATTTCGGTGGGGTGCTAGTAGGCAATGGAGAAAGAAATTTAATAACCTTGAATTTTCCCATCCCCTGGAAGCCATTTGTGCACACACCTTTGGTGGCCCAATTCGGAGCGGGGAGCCTAGCGCAGATCCCGCTTGTCTCCTAAATTTTGCTGGGCCCACGAGAGGTTGAGGAACCGGGAGCAGGCTAGATGGAAATGAGGAATCCGAAGCGTGGTAGAGAAACCGAAGCGTGGTAGAGAAACCGAATTGTATTTTCCATAAACATACAGTCCCCAATTGACCCATACAAGCCAAGGGGGCTGGCTCAGCGGAAAACTAATATGTTCGCTGCAGAATTTAGATATTTGTTTTCACACATTTATCACAATATCTGGAACATATCCTCCACTCACGTTCAACTATACCGACACCCGCTCGAAGAAAGCCTCGGTAAATTTTCCATCGAAACCATCACTAACATCATTACCCCAACTGACCAAAAACAGCCAATAACAACAACCTGATCAATGGCACCAAACCAAAACAGTGACCAAGACTGACCCATACAAGTACAGAAGATTGTGTTGAGGTCATTAAGAAGTGTGCTAAAGGAAAACCCTATCATGAAATTGCAAGCAAAGTTGGCATTTCCATATCAGCTGCCAGGGCTCATCCAGGGGAATGAAATTGGAATTTAAAACTATCGGCAGTAGGAAAGAGTAATCAAGTAACCCCAAAGACAAGCATAGTATAATTAAATAATAAAAGCAGTTCAAACATGAATATCAATAATATTACTTGACCCGAATACCAGTCTGAATGAATTCTTTCTAGATGCGATAGCTTTATAATGAAGTATTGATTTTTCCGCCTCTGTAGTTATGGACAAGCTTATAATTCAACTCAATCTTTCCCTATATTATCTCAGGTCAATTCAAATTAAAAACACATAGTCACATTGGATGTGTATTTAATAATACATCTCCTCAAAATACAAGACCTGGAGGCACAATTCTCGCATCCCATGTGGTTCGCACATGGGCCATTACTTGTAACCATAATGTCCCAAGTACGGTCCAGAGTCAATGACCAAACCACAGGAATTGTTATCCCGTGCCTTGTTGGGTTGCTATGAACCAACATCAACATGCGGCCAGCAGGGTATGCTAAAAATCCATAGATAATAAATACAATGGAAACCATACCATGCGATGCCATTATCTGAACAAAACATAACCATCCTTACAACAGGAAAAAGAAGGGGAAGCGTAATCAAATCATGCAAAATCAATCAAGCAATCCACACCAACCCCACTTTTCATTACACTTTCAAAACCGCGCACGATATCACAACACCGGACTTTGCTTCGAGAAAAAAGTGCCAGGGCCGCAACCTGGGGCCTCTTATAACAAGTATGTTATTGACAAGATGGCTAGCTAGTGACCTCTTTTTCCCCCCATCGTCACTAGCCAACTCTAAGCTAAGCCACTAGCAAAGATAAGTGCACTACCCTACTATCCAACTATGATATCATACAACCGGCGGTCCAAATGAACTGAAAACTTTCAAAAAAGAAAAAACTCCCCAAATCTCCGCCCAGTGCAAGCAAGTAAGCAACCAACCAGCTAGTAACTAGCCAATCCAATCAGACTACTCTTACATCCAGTACTAAAAAGGTTGAAGAAAAGAGGAGGGAACTAAATATGAGATAATTCATCGTAAAAATATAAAAAAAGGAAGAGGAAAAGGAAAAGGAAAAGGAAAAGGAAAGGACAAAAAGCACAGATACTACGCCCGCTGCCTGAATCCGAAGGAGATACCCGATTTGATTTGACTTTTTCAAGAGAGGAAATGCTTGTGCGGGAACGAGAAAGGGAAAGATAGAGCTTCAAGTGAACGAGGAGGTGAATGATATATAACCAACAACATTTAGGAAACAGGTTTTATATCAACTGATGAATGAGCAGGAGCAAGCAAACAGGTTGAAGGAAAAGGATATATGAAGAGAGGAAAAGCCAACCCAGGAACCCAAACAATGACCCGCTGACAAAAGGCATAACAGGAGAGGAAAGCGAAGAGGAACAAAACGGGGGTAATGATACAGAGTACTAGATTTGATCCCTTCACGACCGAGCTGCTATCGCTGCACTTGAGAGTGAACTAGTGCTCGATTAGCCAGCGGTAGTAGGGAAGCACCGGGCTGTTGCTGCGGCTGCCCGGGATGTGGACCAAGCTTATAGCCTGCAAAACCCACTGCTTGTTGAGCAGCGGTGGCAGCCAGAAATGCAGCAGGTGTACTGGTTTGTATTCCTCCTGGTGAGGGCGCAACTGGTCGACGCATATGCTGGGCAGGATTAACTGGGGGGTCAGGGGGAGGCGAGAGCATGCGAGCTCGGTATTGAATGTGCCTATTCGATGAATTAGAACTGCTTCAAGAAATCGAGGAGGGTCATAAAACTCGGGGACTCACGAATCACTGTTCAAGCTCCTCATGAATACCGGGCTGTAATCTTCGTCTTCCTCACTGTGCTTCATGCGGTCAAGTATTATATCATCTAGGTCATTGTCACGGAGAATGCCATGCCCTCGACGATCTATGATTATCCTACCCCCGCGTCCTCGTCTTCGCCTGAAGGCTGGTACATCCCGTGAAGGCGGAGACTTTGAAGAAACTTGCAATACTGGTATCGGAGCCAAATCCGAGGGCTCTTCTGGAAGGTCAAACAAGCCAGTTCCATTGCCCTCACATGAGGGAGGCGGACTCGGAAGATAGTAAGTCTGTACACCGCAGAAGTTTGCATCTGGACCCTTCGGCACAACTGTTGAATCAGAAAACGCTTTCTGTAATATGTCAGCCGCCATTTCTCGCATACTGCAATTAAGTAAAGTGTAAACAAACATCAGTCAAGTCGACGAAACCGTGCTTAGGAACCCGCCGTGAACTCTTGAGCGCTTGGAACTTATCCGCTCTCTGTTTCTCCTTCTCAGCCTTAACTGCCACAAGCTGTAAAAGTTCTGCCTCCGGTGGTTTTCCATCATGACGGGTTGGAATCCTGATAGTAGGTGGTGCTGCCTGATCCACTGGCCTCTTCTTCGGCTATTTACTTGTTAGCACTTCGAGCACAAAGCTCCGGACGCTATAGATATCACACCTTATGGTTGACAAGATCTTCATCATCACCCCGAATCCCATTCCTTCTCTTGATGCCAATAATCTGTCGTCTGCTCTCAAATATCCCAAATTCGACCTGAAAAACATTCTTTCTCATACACTCCCTTGCTAACACATCCCTCACAAGATTGCGAGCTGAGTCGAACTCTTGTCGTAACTTCTTGAGTTTTTCTGTTGATTGTGCATCTGTGCGGCGAGTCTTGCGAACTTGCCGTACCTCACGGCGACGAAAACAAACATATGGATCCCCGTCATCCTTATCCTGCCCTTGTTCAAACTATTGCGGTCATGTTAGAGTATAAAAGGGCCATGTGGCAAAAGAGTGGGGCTAACCTTAAGGATTGGAATGATTGGATTTCCACCACGAGCGACCCTTTGCTCTTTCCAATGCGAATATACCACAGCCGCAATCTTCGCCAGCTCACCGCTGAGTGCCTCGCCGAAATGCACGGCTATTTCGTCATAGGGCATCACAGTAGACATATCGATGGACATGTAGGGCTGGTTCTCGAGCGCAATAGACTCAAAAAGGTCCATAATACGCTCAAATTCTTCAACCTTACATTGCTGACCCCCCGGACGCTTTGTGGCGTTCATCTTTTCAAAAAACTTTTCATCCTCAGCAGACATGCAATATCCTGTTCCACTGCAATCCTCGACGGTCGACGAGAACCGAATATAGCTTGCAGGTTGGGAAAAGCGTTTCGGATAAAGAATCTCATAGTTCGTAACAGTTATCTCTGTAGTGTTTGGAGTTGGGATAAAGATTTGTGTGACTTTCGCGCCAACGGCCGCGGCTTGAGAAGCTGATATTGCAGCTTGCAAATGATGCTCCTGTCGGGAAACGGCACAGTTAGCAGACACCTATCGCCAGCGACCATTGACTCCAAGGAAGATATTATGAACGAAAGAAAAATAAGAACAGGCAAATAAATAAAAGGCCAAACACAGTAGGAAAATAAGCCAAATGGCTTGAGCGCCAATCACAATACGATCCTAGTGCCAAACGGTCGGGGATGAATGCTGGTGTTGCATGCCATACACGGCTACACAATATATGTGACTTTTTTTTTTTTTCCAGCACCATCGATATGTTCTAAAAATAGAAGCGGAGGAAGAGGGGACAACACACGATTTCTTCACCACGTTCAACGCCTGTTTCTATCTGAGGTATATTCCTCTGAGCATCATCGTCTACGGAGTCGATCTGATTCTCTCGGAGGACAGCTAGAGACTGCTTTGTCGAAAGTTTTCGCGTTCGAAAACGATTACCGGTTCCCGACCGAGTCATAGTGGCGAAAAGCTACGCGAAAAAAATCGTCCGTGGGTTTTTGGGACGGTGAGAAAGAGCAGAGCGTGTAGTTTGATGGAATGAGGTTCAAAGGACGTGAGTTGATGATTTTTGACGGTCGCGAGTGCTGAAAAGACTTTGTCGCGACCCCCTTATTCCGAGGTGTTGAGGTCGGAATCTGCCACTAAGCATCGACGGCCTCGTTTGGAGTGCTGATGTTGCATAGTGTTGTGATTCTGTCCAGCGCTAGTACCAACAGGGTATTATGGTGAGCCGCGGCACTGTCTTGGCACGCGTCTGAACGATGGTTCTTCGCAGAACCAGCGACAAAGTCGGAAAAAAACGCTCCATCTACCCCTCTCCTATTGCTTAACAAAAAAACCAAGCACCCTCCGTACCGTATATTTACACGCCCAACAAACGCGAACTATCGCCCTGTCACAACAACCTGTGACCTCCTATCCGCTGTTGGTACCTCTCTTCATCTCCCTCCATCCCTCCTCCCCCGTCAGCCCCCACCCCGCCTCTGTGAGTAAACCCCCCTTTCCCCAGTTCATTGCCGCCAACCACCATCAGCCCTTATAATCTTCCCATCACCTTTCCTCAACAACTCATCCTCTCCATATCACCATTAGGCAATCATCATGGGGCAGAATCCTTCTCAGATTATGGACAATATTGTCTCCGGCTCCAATTGTACCTGTTTCCCAGCATTTGCCTTGTGGGGTTTTACCGCTAACATGGTTGCACAGTTGATCATGATGAAGTGGATCGATTGCGCAAGAGGTTCATGAAGCTGGATAAGGCATGTTTATGGGCATATCCCGGGCCGTTGATCGTATTGGAGCAAATGGCTTATTGCTGGGGGCTTACTTAGGACAATTCCGGTACCATAGAGCGTGAGGAATTTCTGAGTCTACCGCAAGTCTCGTCAAACCCCCTAGCCACCAGGTACACATTCCGGCTTCCCCGTTTGCTGCATCGTCGATGAGACGAAACAAGGCTCCGCTTACAAAGCTACGTGCGTGCTTGTGCGCAGGATGATCGCTATTTTTGATGAAGATGGTGGTGGTGATGTCGATTTCCAGGAGTTCGTTTCCGGTTTGAGCGCTTTCTCCAGCAAGGGGAATAAAGAAGAGAAGCTCCGGTTCGCCTTCAAGGTCTACGACATTGACCGGGATGGTTTCATTTCCAATGGCGAGCTATTCATCGTTCTCAAGATGATGGTCGGGAGTAATCTGAAGGACCAGCAGCTGCAACAGGTATGTCCCCAGCTTGTTGAGCTAATTTCGGGTCCAAACTTTCGTTCCAGCACCACCTCCTTTCCTTCCCCGCCTCAGAAACCAAAAGAACCCATCCCAAAAGGGGCTCACCGCTAATGTATGTCTTACAATATTCGCCTCTAGATCGTGGACAAGACCATGATGGAGGCGGACGAGGATCTGGATGGCAAGATCAGCTTTGAGGAGTTCTGTAAAATGGTCGAGCACACTGATGTCTCGATGAGTATGATGACCCTGGATCAGTTCTAATTTTCTAGGCGAATCCCGGTTTTACCAACAAGCTCCCGTGGCAATATCTCTTCATTTTCTCCCACTCTCTCCTCCCCCTGCATATTTCTTTTCTTTTCTTTTCTTTTCTTTTTCTTTTTTGCTCTTATTGAAGGCGATAGCGCTCGCTCGTTCGTTCATTCGTTTTTTTTTTGCCCTTTTCGCCTTCGGCCTGTGTTCTCATGAATAGTAGTTGATGTCTGATACTCCCGAAAGAGATATGTTTTGGGGCCTGTTGTTCCGGGTTCAATGGTTGTCTCAAGCATCCTAATCGTCCCAAGTGGCTACGATGGCCGATCGCCACAAATGAGGCGGCAACTCATCGATCTCGTGCACCTAGCGGTTCGCCTCACTGTCACATCGTGCGTCCGCCCCAAATTCCACGACCCATCGGAAGAACATATGGAGCCCGTGCCACCCGCCCTTCCTCCTTTCAGCTCTTGATGGTGTACAAGAACCAGAACATTCAAAGCTCACAAGTTGTCATTACCGTACTGCCTACTGCACTAGTACAAGTACCTATAATACTCTAATCACCAACCGCCAGCCGCTACCGCACGCTACCGTATTGTAGCACCCTCTGTGTGATCACTGGTGATGATGGGATGAGGGGAGTTTTCCTTTCTCTCTCTCTTTTTTTCTTCTTGGGCCCCGAAGAATTCCGACCGTAAAACAAATTGTCGCGTCTCTATTCTACCTCATAGTGAATTCATGCAATAATAATAAAAAAATAAAAAAAGGGAAAAAGGGAAAAACACGACGTTATCTTTCGACCTTCTCTCTCCATATTCCCCCTCCTGACTCCCTTCCCGCAATTGTCCCCCTAAATGATACAAATACATATATTCAGATAATCTATAACCCAGTAACTCCTCGACAGGCACCGACCAACCCCAACACCAAGTTTATACCCATACCATAACATCTACTGAAGCAAAAAAAAAAAAAAAAAAAAAAAAAAAAAAGAAAAGAAATATTACAAATGAAAAGAAAACTATAAATAAAGTAAAAACAAAGGAAAGCCAATAAGAATGAATACTGTTGCAGCGTGTGGATTTGCTTGGTTTTATCTTTTTTTATTTTTATTTTTCTCCTTTTTTTTATTTTTATTTATTTATTTATTTCTTCTTTCTCCTCGGTCTTAGCGTTGCTCCTTTCATCATTTTCCCTTCGGCGTTACCGAGATTGGTCTGGAAAGAGGAGTGGTTCGTGTTCACGAATTGTGTTGGCTCCCAGCCGAGCGGTCGGGATTTCGAGGTGCAGCTGAAGCTGAGGTAGATCCTTCCGGTGGCGCCCCGGATTCCGCGTTCCCCTCTAACAGATCCAGGCACTCTTGGATCGCTTTACCATGGTTCATATGTTTAGTTTTTTTTTTTTTTTCTTCTTCTTGCTCGCAACAATTTGGGAAAAAGTAATTCGGCCTCAACTCACCACCTAAAATCTCCTCCTCCCATACACCCATCTGGTAATCTACCAAACCATGTCTTTCCATAGAATCGCATAATGCGATCAACTCCCGTCCCATCCTCTCTAACATTTCCTCCCGCAGAATTTCTCGTGGGGGCTGGGGCGCCTGACCCGTAGCAATGTACTCTTGTAGCATCTCCTTCTCTTTTTGTAGTACCACCAGCCAGCAGGTATTAAACTCGTTCCACAACCTTGTCCGATCCCCGTATAGCTCCTGCTCGTCGCGCACTAATCCTGTCACTGTTTCTCAGCCTGTATTACTAAGAGATCTCTTTGCATATCGAACAATAATCGCAGATGAAGAAAAAAAGAAAAAAAAACACAGATGGACAGAGTAATTGGGTATGCATGAGCGCTATCAGAAGATAGAAAGGGAGGGGGGGAAGGTTCACATACCCAACTCCACGGCATTGGATAGAAGCCAATCTGAAATCGTAAGGAGGGAGGTCCCCGCTTCCCCCAACCGACCATCTCTCATGTTTTGAAACGTGCGTTTCAGGGCACTCTGGTATTGGTTGTAAGCGTCATCCAGCGCCGCTGCCGTGTGATTCTGTTGCGTGAATTCTGGATCCTCGACAGGCTCCGAGGCCGGGGGCTGGTTTAGCTCCGGCATGGCAGAGGCGTAAGCGTGCGGGAGGCGGGCGGCAGTGGGGCTGTACTGGGCGTAAGATGGGCTGGAGAACTGCGATGAGGATGGGTGGTGAGAGACGCCCGCAGGCACAGATGTCGGGGAGTCCCCCGCAACATAGTACTGAGAAGATCCGGCAAACTGACTCGAAAGCACCTCAATGGCAGCAGTCTGCCGTGGGGCATATGACTGAACCGGAGCATAGCTTGAGCCATGTGTCTGCTGAGGGATATTATATACCAAGTTTGAGGTGTAGGGTGGGTAGTTCTGCTGACGATGCTGAGACTCCTGTTGGTATTCGGATTGGTAGTTTATAGGGTTTAGTAAAGGCTGCCCCCCATACGATGGTTCGTCCCCGTGGCGCGTCGACGGTGGACGGTCTCTATCGCTCTCTTCCATTCCCCGTAGAGTGAAGGACCCAGTGTCCTGCACAGCAGACAGGTTACGGAATGCTGTTGCCGCGCTGGCAGCGGGGAGAAGGACGGCAGTAGTCGACGTCACGGCGGTGGTGTTTCTCAGCGATATTTCGAGGTTGGTTCATGCAGATATCTGCACGTATCGGACAGGCGTAGGGTAAACTTTCCGGTGTTGCAGGTAGTGGTAGGTAGAATCAGTTGTAGTAGCAGTTGTCGTTGTAGGTCTCCAAGAGGTGTTATCTAATGACGATGATGATGATGGCGATGGCGATGGTGATGATGATGATGATGTATAATGGCAGAACAGGAACCTATGTTCATGTGGTTGCAGTCATAGCATACCGCAAAAGGATCGCCTGGTAGTGCCTGGGAGTTTATATGGATATAAGGAAATGGGACCCTTGTAATGACGACTGCCCCTGGGCAATGGGCTGAATGAGGAACAATCCCGGAGATGACTTAGATAGATCCGTTGTCAATATTGACAGGAGGACCGACGTGTCTCTCTTCGTTTGCTGTCTTGTGATCTGCCCTGGCTTTTCCCTATCCAGTTTTTTCGCGTCTGTCGCAGGTTCTGGAATCCGGATAGGGCAAACGGGCCTACACTTGGAGAAATGGAGGGATATGGAAGGATGTCCGGTTACATACAAAGGAGCAGGGCGGGCGGGCTTTGCTCTGAGTCGAGTTGGGACCAAAATCTTTTGCCCAGGCACACTCGATCTCCGACTGGCTAACTGAGCGAATTTGTATTTGGTCTGAAGCAGGCTGTTTGCCGCAAGGGGGGCGGAGAAGAAAAAAACAAAACGTGAGCAGATGGGGGAGTGGAGCTAGGAGAATTCTTGCTTAGTCCTATGCTGGAGATGAGGACGGAGAATAGGATAACTTTAGGGGAATGTGAGTAGGGGGGGGGGGGGGGGAACAATAAGACTAGGGCAGAGCCAGAGCCAGCAGCCACAAGCACGCAAGTGACCAGAGGATCAGGACCAGAAGTTAGATTTTATTCTCCAGGAGCAGCCCAGGGAAAGACGCCAACATATACGGAGGCCCGGGGTGCAGGCAGATAAAAATAAAGAGGGCAAGAGGAAATTATGGTCGCAGTAGTCATCCTCAAATCGTCAAGCATTTTTCAGGGATCGGGGCAGTGGTGGGGGGTGCAGAATGAGGAGAGTGTGCGAGTGGAAGGGGATTAGGAAGTGGGTGGGGAAGGGAGAGACGGAGACTTTGGGGGGGGGGGGGGAGAAACCGTTCTGGGGGATTGGTTAGGAGGGAGGAAAGCACAGGGACAAGCAAAAAGGGACGGAGGTAGTTGCGAAGTTGCGATGAGATGGCTAGATGGCCTGAATGGCGATGAGATGGGCGGGATCATCAGTTCCCGCAATGGACAGCATAAGGGTGGGAGGGAACAACAGCAGCAACTGCGCGAGAAAAATTGTCACCAACATGCTCCAATGAAGGGAGGCAAAGGATGATTAACTGCAGGCACAGCGAAATGCCGACAGCAAGCAGAACCATAGCCCCGGATGAGGGGTGAAGTAATTCGATGGTTACCAGCGGACCAAAAAGATCGACGGAGCTCTCCAGCGTCGTGGGATGATGGTAACCCCCCCCC